TGCCTGATTCTGCCTTGTTTTAAGATAGTCATTTCTTGAAAATGCAACTAGCAATTTTCTTTAATTATCTAGCAGTCTGCAGAAAATTTTCTTTATTAATCAATTTATCGTTTAGTCCAAAAATTTGCCCATCAAAATTCAAGGCGATGTAAGTAGCTTGTTTTGTGCATCCAACAGTCCAAAACCGAAAACTTCTTGTTTGGCATTTTTGCTAAAAACCCTAATAAATGATCTAAATTTTTCTCTCAAGAGGTTCCAACCTTCATGGCTTAAAACAGACCAAAGGTTTCTTGTGACCTGCCCATAATCTGTTGCACATGTATTAGTTCCACCAAAGAGTGATTTTGGCAGTTTTATTGGAAGAAACCTACCTACCTATCCAGTAATTTACAACAGCAGAAGCAAAAATTTGAGAAAGTTCTGACACAATTGAAAGGAATTTTGCGTTGCACAATTATATTTTCTCTGCTTTAATGTCCTATTAGAAACGTTAGGTTTGGATTGATAGATTGATAGTTTCAGCTCTGAAGGTGATTTCTACTGGAGACAGGTGGAGGTATCCTCCCTGCTGATTCTTTCACTTGTTTTAACCGATTGTGAACAGAAGTGACTTCACTGACACAAAGCTGCTGGAACTGTGTAGAGATTAGAGAAAGTGCTCGAACGTACCTCTGGCAAAACATTTGAAATTCTGAGCAGGAAGAGAAAAAAACCCTAAGACCAAACGCTCTGTCTAACCAGCCTGCGTGTGCCCATGTCTTTCATCCAATCAGGGTGTAAAACCAGTATCAATCTCTCAGTTTTACTGTGTCTCTGTGTTCAGGAGCGAAACTAAGCCGGATTTAACCTTTGTGGAGGAATGACAGAGCAGCAGAGGAAATCGAGGCATGAAGAGAGGAGGAGAGCAGCAGAAAAGGCTGACGGTCGAAGGTTCTAGCTCTCTTCACAAAACAACAGGATCCACCTCAGTCTGCCAAACTCCTGGGAGAGGATTTTGGGGAATTACATGGAGAATAAAGTGAGTTTCATCGCACACGGAGGGCGACTGTTTCACGCTGATGTTTGCTGAAACAAAACCAGTCTTCACCTCTCTGGATTATCAGTCCTGAAGGAGGATTTTGTGGGATTGCGTTTGGAAAATAGACTTTTTCTTGTCAGCAAAGGATGTGAGACACTTGTGAGAGCCAGAAAACACTGGAAACATGATTTAATTGAGCAAGTTTGAGCAAAGAACCTGAGATATTTCCTCAAGGTATTAAGTGCATTTTCAGTGTAGTAGTAACAAATTCACTGGTCAGTTTGTGTTTTTGGACAGAGGAAGAGATTTTCTGAGCACCTACAAGTCAAACGGTTGAATAAAAAGCACAAACAAGCTTGAAGAAATTTAGGGAATTTCAGGACATCAACGCTTCATTTCTACCCTCTTTAAACTTCCTGTTTCTCCACATCTCATTTTCCAATTTCTCATTTTTTAAATCTTTCCTATTTTCTCTGCATGCACCTTTTAAATTTTGCCACTTTTCCCCTTTGCATTATCTGACAGGAATCCCGAAGAGGATTAAGTTGTATAAAGCAGGTGCTGATGACAGATAACAGCTGCAGAGAGGCAGAGGTAGACTCTCATAAAACCAGATAAGTGACGTTAGGTGACAGTAGCAGCAGGTAATACAGGCCGAATGTGTGGATGCTTCTGCAGAGCGTCGGTGCCGTCTGTCATCTTTCTGCAGGCTAATTCCATCTCAAGGACCTTCTGTGGGCGAGGTGGGCGATTATAAAACCAGAGGGGGGGAGAAACTCTATAAAAGAGGGGAGAAAGAACTAAAGGAAAGCTAAGCTTGGAAACTAAACATCATTGTTGACAAATGAAGAAGACGCATCAGCTGACAGGGTTAAATTCCTGACAACCTTTTCGCATTTGCCATATAATAATGTCTATTTGCAACATCAGACTGATCATTTGTTAAATTATACAGAAGTTGTCCAAAAGTGGTAAAGGCAAGTCTGGGCTGTCAGCGCTGAACCAGGAGGGTCAAATCAACGCTAACGTCTTTACAACCTTTTGGACTGCAGATAAAGTCAAGTCGACATATAAAAGCAGATTTATTTATGCAAGATTTTACATCTACCAACTCAAAATAAACCTGCAGATAACCAACTTTTATAAGTTTAATACAAAAACTGCAGGAACTGTGTAGATTTCTCTAGTGAAAATTCAAAGACGATGGCCTTGTGGTGAAATCCCCACAAACATTCATTGATTTTTCTTTAGACAACAAAGACTAAAAGGAAATTAATGAAGCTTAAAGCAAAACTATAGATTTAACGTTTGTGTTACTACATAAATAGTATCCAAAAACTAAATGTATCCTGTTCTTTAAGCACAAATAGAGTTCTATGGTCCTGACCCCACATTCAGGTGCTAAATTTTACTAACATTTTGTCAAAAACACAAAGCACAAACTGTTTTTAGCTCTCAAAGAAAAACTCCAGGTGCTCAGTTACATAGATGAGCGGACTGATTATAAAATCACTTTTAAAGCACAAATGAGAAAAATGCTAAAAAATGTTTGCCTAAACCAGTGTGTTCAGTTCAATAAGCACAGGCTGTGTTCAGATCATTAACAGTTTGGACATGAATATTCAGGTGCTAAAAAAATGCATTTTTGTATGAATATTTGCATCAATCCACAGCACACCCATCATACGTGCACTGTACTGTTAACACTGATTTGATCAGTGCTTTAATATCAGCTCAGAAACCAATATTTATATTTGAGCTGCTGCCTTCTGATTCGTTTGGGCGTATAAAGTTTTGTTTAGATGAATTATTGAGGCAAGCAATTTCTTCAGTGCATCTCCTTTTCTCTTCTCTTCCTGGTCCAGAAACATAAATCTTACTGTTCAGATGCTCTATTAAAGATTTATCTGTTACTAATATTTAATATTTCAGATCAAACTCAGCAGTCTATTCGCTGTGGATCCTCTCTTTTTTTCTCTTGTCAATTTGAGGAGAAAGTAAGTCGTTTTAAACACTCGCTGATGTTCAGATGAATAATTGAGTGAAAACGAGTTTTTTCCTTTTTCTCCTTCATGTCTCATCAATCGTCAGTGGCCTCGTTTCCACTGCGACTTAAAACAAACCTCAGGAGACAGAAAACTGAACGTTTGGCTGAAGATATTTAATTATTAGTAAAGAAAAAACTGCGCCGTGCTTGATTATATTTCAGCTTTAACCAGCTTTATAAAAAGCAGGTGACACTTTGATTCAGACTGAGGAGATCTCAGTTTCACATTCGACAGGGAAAAAACTTATACTATAATATAAGATAATGATTATATAGATCCTTTGTCATGTTACACAGTTTGCAAGAAGATTTAAGAAATCAAATAGAAGTAATAGATCGTTACAAAATATTCATTTTGCTGTATCTATTACTTATTGGGTGTCAATTTACTGAAGACAGAAGTGACTTAATTTATCTTTCCAATTTCAGCTGCACATTGCAGGGAAACAATCATTTTTAAAAGCACCACAATTTTGATTCATTTGTTTTATCCATCACTTTAAGTAAAAGTAAAATCAGGGAACCAGACAAGCTAAATTTAATCACAAAATATTAACCCAGTATTGACTATTTGAGCTGCAAAGCTTAAAGAAACTGGCCAATGTGTTCAAAACCCCTTAACACATTCAATATTTGACTTTTTATTCTCCACCACTGAAACCAGTTCAAGGCGCTGAGATATAGATTTTTGATATATGAAATAGATTTTTTTGTGTGTTTGACACAGTTTGAAGGGTTACTGATGAAGAGCCTGGTGAAGTACACTCAGAGAAAGGTCAGTGTGAACGGTGTGTAGGTGGATCTTAATCAAACACACAAGGTGACACATTGAGGAAGGGCTCACACATTCATCTCTCCAGAGACTACACTCCTTTCTCATCACCTCCATCACCCACATCTTCCTCATCAGAAAACCATTCAACAGGAGTTCATTTTCCAGGACCAAGAGATTTTTAACAATTTGAAGCACAAACTCAAGGCTGTTGCCTGTTCTGCCCCCTCCCCCTCGTCTTCCTCCCCTGCAGGGCTGAAACAATCTGCCGCGCATGAATAAAAATTAATTTTTCACCGTGATGAAAAGACACAGCATCTCCTCCTCGCCGCCCGCGGGACAGCAGATAAAAGCTGTTTACTGTGAGGAGCTGATAGAGCAACAGAATGTGTCCTTTTTATGAAAAAAAAAACAACAAAACGAAGCTGAACAATTTCATCATTGTTTTTTGCCTGCGAGCGTGAAACATTAAAAACACAGAAGTGGTTTTTGCTTTCGTCTTCAGAGTGACAGCAGAGGAGAAAAGACAACATGAAGTGAACTCAGCTTGACTCTCAGCAGGGTTTTTATCTGAAGTGACACTTTTCTAAACCAAGACAGATGTCTTTGATGACGAGGTGCTGAAGTTTGACTGATCTGACTGAATCTGCATTTGTTTCAATCCAGTTAATGAAGCACATTTGTGGATTTGTGGGAACTTTTGCTTTTCTGAGGGAACACTGAGACTCCCTTACCCCACTTTTGTGCATTTTTGCCCAAAAAACTGCACTTTGCAGAAGAACCACTGAAGATACACAGATAATAGTAAATATAATTTGTGTCTAAACAGAAAAAGACATTTGAATCTCTAGAAGTGCTTGGATCGGTTTCTCTGAGGATTTATAAACATTTAGAAAGAACAAGAGTGATTCTTCCCACATAAAGAATCTTTGTCGGCAGGGATTACAAATTTATTCATTTAGAATTTAATTTCAGCTGAGTTTATCTTAGCTTTGGACATAATTCTCTAAACAGAAAATTATCTTTCTGAACCTCATTTTCGGTCAAAGGTCAGATACTGTTATAAGGGCAAACAATCAAAAAAAACATCAAAAGGACATCAGTTTGGAGGTTAAAGGTCAGACACAAGCTGGATTATTGATACAGAGTGACCTGCAGAGACAGGGGAGGGAGAGATAAAAAGACAAGAAGAAAGCAGAGAGAGAGATAAGAAGACGAGTGTCAGACGTCATCATGGGCTGCAACATGTGTGTGGTCAAACGTCCAGAGGAGCAGTACAGGATCATGTTCCAGGTAAGAAATCAGAGCTCTGAGCTGTTGTGTTCAAGAAGGCTCAGATATCTGAGAACTGAGCAACCGGCTGTTTTAAAGCTTTAGAGTGATATATTTATAATTAATCAATTATTTTTGTCCGTGGAATATCAGAAACTGATCATTTTCATTATAATGTCCCGCGGCCCAAGCTAATGTTTTTTTTGTCTGAGCAACAGTCCAAAACCCAGATATTTTTCTAACAGTACGACACAAGTAACGCAGCAAAACCTCACATTTGACAGGATGGAACCAGCAAATGTTTATTTGATTTTATCTGATGCTGTTTTTGCTGTTTAATCAACTAATTATGCAGCTCCAGATATAATTTTTTGGGGAAAATCAATAAGCAAACACAGAGCCATGTTAACCCACTACGGGGCCCAGGGGCTGTGGGCCCCGCTTGACCCACCCCATTTCTCTCGCTGTCTCAGCACATTGCGTATGTATTCCATTGCAATTGCATTACAGTAAACCTGGAGTGTGCAGGCCCCCGGGGGATTGGCTTGGTTGGTTATTAGCCAAGGGGAAACCATGTGTGTGTGAGAGAGAGATTCTAGAGGAAACTATGGTACCATTCATCACTGCAGGTTGGTCTAGTTACTCTCTGTAAAGGTCATTGTGTCATGAGGCTGAAAGTCATAGAAACCCTGCTCACACCCTCCTGCTTGTTCATGGAAAGCAGTGCAGGTCTGTGTGTGCGTGTGTGTACGGTACTGTGTATGGGCATGGATGCTCTTATGTGCAACGCTTTAGTCATTGTCAAATCAGTCTTCATGCAGAATACAGTATGTTTACATTTATTTTACAATGACTAATTCTGGCTTTACTTTTGTGCAACAAAACATTTTTCCAATTGCCAACACTGACCTTACCACTGTTGTTCAGTATCCAGCGAGTTATACTGTGTGAAAGTTCCCAAGGTGATTGGTAATTCACAGATCAAGTCGTTAGTGATAATTTTCAGCAATTAAAAGTGAAATTATAGAATAGTGTCATGAAAATGAAAGAAGTTGTCTAGTACTTATGTGTTCAGCTGCAAGAAAAACAAACTATCCAGTTGATATCCAGTGACCAACAGGAAGCAAAGTGTAACATGATAGAGTACTTTTTGTTAATAGAGACAAAGATGTTGGTACTGTGAGGGAGAGAGAGTTAAAGAAGGTGGGTGTACTAGTTTGTCAGTTAGATCAAAGTCAGACTGACATGCTAACAAGTCCCAGTGACCTACAAAATAACATACAAGCATTTTGTGACCTGTAACTCCTATTAGCATGGAGTTTTTTAGTCCCTTACAAAGCTGTTACAAATGGTTTGGTTCACGTGCAAAAATGACCTGGTTAAGGTTAGTAAAACATTGTGTTCTTAGTCAAAAGAAACCAAGACTGACTGTAAATGGGACACTAAGCCCAGTCTCCAATGCCAAATCACGTCAAGTCATCCACTGGGCTAAAGATCAGGCTACAGGGTTCAAGACTCGGATTGTTCTATTTGGTGTTAGTCAAATCTAGCAATAGTGGGCTCAACTAATCTGACTAGGAACAAGAGTTCGCCTAGCTCTGTTCAGCACAACACAACAACAGGCTTATTTAGGCTGCGATAGTTCCTTGAGTGGAAAATTGACCCAAAGAATTACATTTGTGGCAGATAAGGCTAATTTTCTAAATAAAGAAACTTTGAAAATGTTAGCAAATGCTTTAATTCAGCCACACTCTGACCATGCCTGTGCTACATGGTACAGCAGCATCCCCAAGAGGATAAAAGTTCAACTTTAAAAGGCACGGAGTAAATTAGTCAGGTTGATCATAAACCTCAACAACAGGACCCACGCCGGCTCTTCTGAACTTAAGGATCTAAAATGGCTGACGAAACAGAGTGAGGCAATTGAAACTGAGATTAACACGAAAGATTTTGCATGTATTTTAAAGATTATTTTGAGCTTATTAGGAACTCTCAACTAGAGGCAGTGCCACCGACATAGCATCTTGTAGCTTTAAGAGCTGTTGTGGGCAAAACACCTTTTTCTACACGGCAGCATTGGGATGGAACAAACTCCCAGATGAAATTAAATTAATGCCAGTCAGATCGCTGTTTTAATCGAGCATGTGGTGAATGGTTGTTTAATGCTAATTAGATTGAGTTTTTATGCAGTCTTAAGGAATTTTTTTTTTATTGTAGTGCATGTATTTGTGTTTCTTTTATTTTATTTATTGTATTAGGATGTGTTAAGTCTTTTAGTCGTATTTTGTAAGGGTTGATTGTACAAGATACTTTAGTCATCTGTAGCTTACCTTGCCATCTTTATCAGACTACAACGAGGACCACAATGGAAATAAGTTTGTAACTTTCTTGTGTTATACTCGACAGTTCTGATAAATCTGGATTGTCACTGTGATGGCATTTTTTTTCATGCATTTATTTGTGTTACTGTCCAATAAATCAAAAATTCAAAGCACAAAAGAGAGAGAAAGAGAGATATATTAATGATATATATGCTTCTTCTGTAGCCAGAAGTCAAGCTAATGTGTCAGCAAGTCCTCCAAACCAACCATAAAAAAACATAAAAGAACCCATATGAGGGTTTTTCATAGATAAGGTGGACTTATTGGAGTACTGTAGCAGTATATAATGTCCAGAAAAGAAAGAGTCCGATGTCCAATGGCAGGAGAATAAGGAGGCTTCTGACAAGTAGACATATATTTTTATACATATATTAACCATTTAGGCACAAAAGGTACTTGGTTAAGGATCATAGAAATGATTAAAATACAACATCCTTTCCTGTTTCCTACTAACAGTCAGTGGTCATCCATGGCTAATTCAAATGATTTGTTGTGCCCTTGGACCACCCCAGACTCCTGCCCATGTGGTTTCGTATGCAAATAAGCAACAACCAATGGTGCTGGATTTCATTATAGACCACCATGGAGCTGTCCATGGTGCTGAACCCTCTGAAACAGTACTCTGACTACCAGACTCTTTGCCTCTATGCTTTACTGTAACATGTAGAGCTGTCCATGGTGCTGATCCCTCTGAAACAGTACTCTGACTACCAGCTCTTTGCCTCTATGCTCTTTACTGTAACATGTAGAGCTGTCCATGGTGCTGATCCCTTTGAAACAGTACTCTGACTACCAGACTCTTTGCCTCTATGCTCTTTACTGTAACATCTAGAGCTGTCCATGGTGCTGAACTCCTGCAGGTTTCTGGCTCTGGAGCTGTGGAGTCTGGATCTGTGGTTGCGGGTCACCTGCTGCCCCTGTGTTCCTGCTCGACAACCTCTACTGCAACGACTATTGTTGCTAGTCTTATTGTTATTATTGTTATTATAATCATTAACATTACGATGGTTACCATTAACACTATTAAATATCTGTACCATTTTTCATTCAGTCTATAGCAACATCACCTTCACTGTCTGTACCTCTGTGTGTATATTGTGTAGGCTGCTCTCTCTCTCTCTCTCTCTCACCCCAACCGGTCGAGGCAGATGGCCGCCCACCTTGAGCCATGGTTCTGCTCAAGGTTTCTGCCTCTTAAAAGGAAGTTTTTCCTTGCCTCTGTCGCCTAGTGCTGCTCTTGGTGGGAACTGTTGGGCTTCTGTAAATATTATCACAGAGTACGGTCTAGACCTGCTCTTTTATGAAAAGCGCTGTGAGATAACTGTTGTTGTGATTTGGCGCTATATAAATAAAATTGAATTGAATTGAATTGAATTGAACCCTTTGAAACAGTACTCTGACTACCAGACTCTTTGACTCCTGGTTTGAAACTGTGGAATCATTCCCAATCTCCACCCCAAAGCCTAAGCCCTGAACCCTCACTAACTTAACTGACGTCACCTGGTGAGTGCTTAAGCTGTCTGCAAGGGCCCAAAATGATACAGCACCGCACTTTGCAACATATCACACTATGTTACCTTTACTACGCCAAAACAATTTGTGGTTTAGGACTCCTCACGGCCGAGGCAATGAAGGGACCACTGTCTGATTTAAACATTTATAACTTGCAGAGTAAATTGATTATTTGAAAATTACCAGTAATTTTTATAAAATTGTTATCAAAGCAGCATCACACACTTACATTTAAACTAACTTAAGGGCTCAAAATGCCGTGCACTTGATGATTTGACAGTGGGAAAGCCTTAAGCCCTGACAGACTTACTGGGAACGCACCTCAGAGTCCATGAGCCAGTGATTGTGGAGACTGGGATTTAGCCTCTGACGGTTCTTTACTGGAGAGCTGCTGCCCTCATACTTTCCCACTAAGCACCAGCTGTATAGTCTCTGCTTCAAATCTTATTTCAGCTCGAATCATTTTGATTTGATGGATTAAGTTTTTACATTATTACTTACAAAAACATCAATAAATATCATAAACACACAATACACAACATTATGTAGATCTTGTTAAGCACTATTCCGACGGGAAAACTTCATCTGAGGAGATTTTACATATAATGTTGATAATTTATCTTTATATGATATATTAATGGTTTATGAATATATAAACAGTAAGCTTGTTAGGCGATTGTTGATCTGGATGTCCCTTAAATTCACTGAAGCTCAGCTCTTTCTGAGTGGATTAAGTCAATATATTATAATAACAAACTTTACATGCATTTTGTGGTTACTGCGGCTGAGTTAGATTTTTCAAACATGCTAAAACTGCTCAGTGTGTCGAGAACAAAGTTAGAATTCAGAAAATGTGTCAAGAAGCATTGCAGGAATCCTCAAACTGCACATGTTTATGGAGGAGCTGCAGGCCCTCATACATAAAACACTCACTTTTATATTCTTTTGACTCCATTGTACCTGTAAACTTTCCTCTTCTTTTACCTTCGTGCACCAAATGTTTTACATAAAAACCCCAGCAAATAAAATCAAAAACACCCACCGAGTAGAGAACCTATTGTCATATGGACTTTTTTTATTTTGTTCCCTCTATTACATCACATTTGTGCCACCCTGCTTCCAAATGAC